GATTCACTAGGACTTTTGTTTTTGCAGGGTGACAGATATGGATCTATTTGCATTCTTTGACATGCCACCATCCTGTTATACCAGCACCATTTGTTGAAGATGCTTTCTTTTTTCCATTGTATAATTTTTTTTGTCAAAAATCATTAGTTCAGAGGTGTGTGGATATTTGGCAGTTCTTTGATTTGATTATATTGATCCATGTGTCTGTTTTTATGCCAATACCAAGCTGTTTTATTGTTTTCAATACTGTAGTTCCATAATAGAGCTTGAAGTCAGGGATGATGATATATCCAGAAGTTCCTTTATTGTATAGGATTGTTTTAGCTACCCTGGGTTTTTTCTTTTTCCATAAAATGTTGAGTATTGTTCTTTTGAGGTCTGTGTTGGGATTTTGATGGTGATTGCATTGAATCCCTAGAGTGTCACTTTTACTATGTTAGTCCTACTTATCCATGAATTAGAAGACCTTTTCATTTTCTGATATCTTTTTCAATTTCTTTCTTCGAAGACTTAACGTTTTGTCATATAGGTCTTTCACTTGTTTGATTAGAGTTACCCCAAGATATTTTATATTATTTGTGGCTATTAAAAGGGGTGTTGTTTCTCTGATTTGTTTCTCAACCTGTTTATCATTTTTATATAATAGGGCTGATGATTTTTTGAGTTATTCTTTTACCCTGCCATATTATCAAAGGTGATTATCACCTGTAGATTTCCCTGATAGAATTTTTGGGTTCACTTATGTATACCGTTATATCATCTGCAAATAGAGAAAGTTTGAGTTCTCCCTTTCCAATTTGTATCCTCTTGGTCTCCTTTTGTTGTCTTATTACTCTAGGTAGAACTTGAATAGATATGGAAAGAGTAGAGAGCCTTATTTTGTTCCTAAAGGATGCTACTATTTAGTTTAATCAATTTTTATTTCTTTCCATTTAATTTGATGTTGGCTGTTGGCTTGCTGTATATTGTTTTTATTATGTTTAGGTATGTTCCTGGGTTCTCTGACCTGTCCAAGACCTTTATCATGAAGGTGTTATTGGGTTTTGTCAAAGCCTTTTTCAGCATCCAATGAGATGATCATGTTTTTTTCTTTCAGTTTGTTTATATGATGAGTTACAGTGATAGATTTTCAACCATCCCTATATCTCTTAGTGTTTGCAAATAGTCTGTCCAAGACCTTTCATCTTTTAGAGTCTATTGAAAAGTTGTGTGTAATTCTGATAAGTCTGCCTTTATATGTTACTTGGCCTTTTTCCTTTGCAGCTATTAATAATCTTTCTTTATTATGTATGTTCAGTGTTTTGATTATTATGTGGCCTTGGGACTTTTTCTCTGGTCCTGTTGATTTGGTGTTCTGTAAACTTCTTGTACCTTCATAAGCATGCCCTTCTTTAGGTTGGGAAAGTTTTCTTTTGTGATTTTGTTGAATATATTTTCTGTGCCTTCAAGTTGGAATTCTTTTCCTTCTTCTATCCCTGTTATTCTTAGGTTTGGTATTTTTGTGGTGTCCCAGATTTCCTGGATGTTTTATGTTAAATGTTCTTGGATTTAACATCTTCTTTGACCAATGAATCTATTTCCTCCATCATATCTTCAATGCCTGAGATTCTCTCTTCCATCTCTTGTATTCTACTGGAAATGCTTGCATCTGCAGTTCCTGTCCACTTACCTAAATTTTACAATTCCAGAATTTCCTTGGTTTGTGTTTTATTTATTGCCTATATTTCAATTTTTGAGTTCTGAACTGTTGTCTTCACCTATTTGATTGTTTTTTTCCCTTGTGTGTTTTTTAAAAAGGAATTTAGTGATTTCTTTTGTTTATTTTTTGTTTGTCCTTTCTTGATTTAAGGGAATTTTTCACTTCCCTTTTAAGAGCCTCTATCATGTTCATAAAGTTATTTTTAAGGTAACTTTCTTCTGCTTCATCTGCACTGGGGTGTTCAGATCTTGCTGTGATAGGACCACTGAATTCTGGTGGTATCATAGTGCCCTTTATATTGCTGAATATATTCTTACATTGTTGTTCACTCCTCTGTTCTTCCAGTTGATATAGTTGTTGCTTGTTCCCACAGAGACTGCTCCAATTGGTGTGGGTGGCACTTGTATTTATAGGGTCTGCTGATGTTGCCAGAGAGGGCTGTCTGCAGGGAGGATGCTGGAACAGGGTCTTGTGCCACCAGTGGGTGCCAGTGGTGGTGGTGTAGTCTGCCTACAGGTCTCTTACCTGCTGGTCATGCACTGCTGAAAGAGCACTGGTCTCAGGTTCAGGAACCTCCCTGCTGTGCTTTGAATCACTGTTCCTTCATGTAGCCCACCTTACCAGTTTTAGAACCACTGAGACACGGATCCTTCATGTAACACCACCTATTTTACCAATGTTAGAATTACCATGGGCATTTCTTGAAACCCTTTCTCAAAAGTTCAGCTGAGAGTCCTGGAGAACAGATTTTTTAAAGCTCAGTCTTGGTCTTTAGGTGCCCATGGGGGACGATTTGGTAATAATAAATTTCTACATTTGTTTTCATTCTGTCTTGTTTTGGTAGTACTGATGCTATTCTGGCTATGGAAGGATGTTTCATTCAAATTTTATCTTATGTTGAAATCAAAAGAACAAGGAGGAGAAAGGAAAAAGGAGAAGGAAGGAGACTCTCTATATGGGTAGGTCATTGTTGTCATAGCCCTTTACTACTGCTCATTGACTCTCCAAAACACTAATATCTGTACTAGTCCTCCCCTGAAACCTCAATTTCAGTGAAATGTCTCTGTGAACAGAAGCCTTTTCTACCTAACTTCCTCAGTGATTGACCCAGGTCTAGTATCCATGCTTGTGAAAAACACTCTTGAAATTGCATTTTATAAAATTGTATTGTCAAATTTCCCTGCTCTTAAGTTACCATCCTCCGTTTTGGAAATATGTATAAGTTATTAGGAAATAAGTTACGTGGGAAACGTATACTCTCTGCTTTGGATAATAAATAACTTGGATATAAAACATCCATGACACCCACCAACTCTTCCAACTTTGATGGTCACAGGCTGAATTATAGCAGAACGATGACATTTTACAGACACTGAAGAGGTCAGAGATTATTTTATAGCATGGTACTGTGCAGAGATAATTAAATCATCTTAGTCAAAGGCAGGAGCATGATTGAGAGTAAAAACAACACTAGATCTGTGGGAAGAAGGTCTTCTTGCTGGACAATATTCCTGTAAGTCTGGCAATTTTGGAATATGGTAGATTTTTTTGAATATTTCTATACATAACCATCTAGTGTTGATTGCCCTGGATATATTGTAATTCAACAGATTAAGGAAAAGAATATTTAAGTTTAACTGAAATTATCAGAAAAGCAAGGGAGAAGGGAAGAAAAGGAGAACATGAGATGGTATCTGATATTAAGTTTAAAAATAACAATAGATATAGGTTTCCCTGAGTTTGGTAATCTAATGACAACTAACTCCACATCCTGTCTCATACATTTTGGGTTTTGTCATCTTTTCTCCTTTCTTCTCTTTCCATAAGTTCTTTGTTGTAGAAAGACAGCCCGACATTGCCACTTTCAAGGATGTCTGGCATTTAAATCAGCCTCTCACTTGCTTTGAAGGCAGCTAATGGGTTGCAGTATCCTCACCCATAATGCTTTTCCACACTCAGGATATGGACTATTAGGGATTGTAGCAGTGAGTATGGGTGCTATAATTTGTGACCTTGATGAGAAAATCTGTATATTTGGGCAGGCTGATTGTTAATAGAGAAAATTACATGGGGCTAAAATCAAGGGAAGAATTGCGCTTCACTCCTCTGGAAAATTAGTTATAATGAATTTGACTTTCTGATCTACTCTGTGACCATCTGAACAAGAGAAAAAGAGAAAGTGTTAGACACCTAATGGAGAGGTTAGTGGTATGCAGATTTATAGCTGAGAAGTGAGTGCTTGTGATTTATGAGATTCCTCTGAATCAGATGGCAAATAAACTTTGAGCCACTTTGGTTTTTGGGATAGCTAACAGAGACTGTAGGAAGTCACAAACAGCAGAGGTGAGGAGTAGGGATGCCAATTTATAATAATCTTATTTACTCATTAATATGTTCTATGAGAGGGGTACCTGCCACTAATAGGGAATTTAGTTGAGAGCATTTAATGCTCTTACACCATAAGACTATAAGAATTGCCCATTCCTTCTAATCTTCCATCCAGTTGTGATAGTGTCACGTAAGTGGAAATATTCTGGCAAGGACAGTAGTGTGAGCAGTTCCGGATGTCCATTGGTATGACAACGTCAGAACTGGAAGTGACTAGAAGCATCAGAGCATGAGGGAAAAGTACTAAGCAGTGTACAGAGAAGTGAAAATTAGCCTGGAGAAGAGCCTTGCTAGACCCCAGGTAAAGATAACATGTGGTTTTATTGAAGATGATACTGAGCAGATGAGAATTCAGAGGAGTATGCCTGAAGACAGTCCTTGCAGATACTTAGGGCCATTATTTCTTTGGATCCAAGAACTGTCTGAATTGACAATTTTTTTTTTTGGGAAATGAGGGATATTGAAGTGCATTATCCTTGTATTTTTTTTCTTCAGTACAATATGAAAATTGGCTCATGGTAGTAGGTGCTGGTTGTAATAAAGTATCCCAGGAGTTCCATGTTTTTGCTAGAATAACATGTCCCTCCTCGATTCTATTCACTTGACTTGCATTAACTTACAATAATTCTAGATCAGTTTGGATTGTATCTTGTTTTCAAGAAAAACATAACTTACAGCAAATTTTGATAGGAAAATCTCAATGCTTTTGATATGTTTGCTAGTAAATTGACAAAAGAAACAGTTACAAATTTATGTTTTCAGATGTGATATTTTTTAAGGCATTAGTTTTTAACAGCCCAAGAATTCATCAGTACACATGGAAAAGGCATAAACTGTACAAAAATGCTTGGAGGGATGAGTCATTAGAGCATCGCTCCTTTTCTGAGCATTTCAGAATAAATAGAATGCAGACTTAGCATTTTCTGGGGACAATTTGACATCTCAAGATATTGACATGAATGGCGATCCTTTCTGCATTATAATTCAGGCAGCCAAGGAGGACATGGTAGAAAAACAGAGGAGAAGAATTGCCTAACAGATGTAAAGATGGCAGTCCATCTGTGGCAAGATCGTCTGCATCTTCCTCAAATTCAAGACGAATCTAGTCATGAAATGATAAGCACTTATTAATTGTAATGTTAATAATCATTCTGTAGTGCTGAATAAAGATTTGGGAGAAAATTAGGAAAGGAAATCTTTATCCCAAAATATGGATTTTCATGAGTCTAGAAGAGGCAGCCGTAGATCTGTTAGTTATCTGGAAACTAGACCCAAGATCCCCCACATATATTTTGGACATGCAGCTGGTCCTAGGTGGAGTATGTCCCTACAAAAATAGATAGAAGTTGGTACTTGACTGTAGATGTGGGTCTGAGTGAAGGACAATAAAGGAACTAGTGTTAGCTCTCCCAAGAATGACCTTTCCTATATCTTTGGTGTTGTCTCTGAGGTACAATTTGTGCATCTTGATTTTGTTAGTTCACCATTTTCTTCTTCTTGCTTTCCATCAAATCTACCCAGCAGCTAATATCTGGAAACAAAGCCACAGAAATGACAAGGACTGTTTTTGGTGGTTAAGATGCAGACAGACCAGTGATGGTGTGAGATCTCCTGAAATCTCAAGAGACGTTCACTCTGTCCAGGAAGGGCACTGTCCAAATTACTGTGAGGAGAAATCCCTATCTTCTGAAAGCCCTGGCTGTGAGGTGCTGAGTGAAATACCTTTGAGAAAGTTGGAGTTGCCAACAACCCCTCAGGCAGGAGGCTGTCTATGTCACTCTCCCAGGAGACATACTTCAAAAGCGTTTGTCTCTACCAGGGTCGCACCTTTCACGAATGAGAAAAGCCAAGTAGTAAAAGGTGGGACCTTACCAGGTTGAGTAATGACTTGACTTCCCATAGTAGTCCTGAGAGTCTTGTTAATTTTGAAACTGTCTCTCTGATTTTAGAAATGAAAGCACCAACACCGGGGATTGACTCCAGATCAGCAATATCTGTTATTACATGCCTCAGGGTGTTGTTCCAGACAGTCAACATACCTATGGTCTCTTTCAGAAGGACCTCAGGCTAGGAAAAAGCAATTGAGCATCACATTAAAATGTATAAAAAACGGCAGGTTGAATTGCATGTGATACCTAGCGTAGTGTTTGTCACTTGTGTTACGCAATGTTTTGAGGATCATTAGCAGCAGTGTTAGTACAGTGATTTGTGAGTGTCTAGACATGAATTAGATCTTAATAGATTTTCTCTTCCTTTACTTTTTAAAGATAGTCTCTTCCTTCACTTTCCCTCATGTTTACAGTTACCGATATGTGAAGCAGATGTGCAGAATGTGCATAGCCAATGTATAAAATCATCACAGAGCACAAAATATATGTGTGGTGCATTAAACTTGATAGAGTAAGGAACAGGATGGGAGGTGTCATAGTTACTCTTAACAGGTTGCCTAATGTGTCAGCCTTGCACCAGATGCCATATTAGCCACCTGTGCAGCAATACAGGATTTCCCAAGATGTAAAGCGCAAGGAGAAGGCAACAACATTGGGTGGGAATTGTAAGCTTTCCCCATGGATTGCTCTGTTTCCTTCCTTTTTTCTGTAATGACCTGCAGCTTGGCAGAGCTGGGCTCCTACTTCAGTTGATTTGACGAGAAAACGAGACTGGGGCCTCACCTGAATATCTTGGTCTTCTGTGCTGTTATCTGGAACAGGGAGGGAATAGTTGTAGCATAGCAGGGGAATTTTGTCCTTGATGCCTGGACCTTTAGCATACTCTTTGTCCTGGAAAGGATGAGATCATTAGGGAACTGGAGAAGTGAGTCAATGAATCCATGAGTAGTACATTAATGCATTTGGTCTATGTTCACTTTTAAAGGATGAGCACTACATAAAAATATTTAAATTTAGGAATGAGGAAAATGATGTGTTGGTGTAGTTAATGAATCAGATCAGTGATACCACTGTTCCACTACCCTAGAAGCCTGTTAACTTCTCTGAGTTACCATTCCTTTGCTTTCACATGCTTTCTAAAAAGTTGTTATTTGAAAGAAAGAAAAACAAACAAACAAACAAAAACCCATAACTACAAAACACTTGGTGTTTTAACAATGCTCTTTCCTGGAACATCATTGGCACAGTGAGTGTGTATCTGTGCTTGTGACCCTCAGCTTCCTGTTACTTGTTATCACTGAGTCTGTACACCTTGACCATAGAATTTCCCTAAAAATTCAAACTGTAATTTGATGATTATAATAGAATCCGTCATTGGAAAACTCATGCATAAAATTTTCAGAAATATCATACAGTGAAAAACAAAAATAAAAATAATATACTCAATGTTTCCTATTATCAATATTTATTGAAATTTTCTTTTGTTAAATATATTATTTAAAATACCTTTATTTGAATTTTATAGTGAACAAAATTGTAAAGATTAATGACCCACTAGGGTTCCTAACAAGTTGGAAGGCTGCCAGTCAAGACTGCAGAATGAAAAACTTTCTAGTGATTAAGTAGAACTAGATGAATGTGTTTATTACACATGCAAGAGGCCTATGCTGCACGTTCCTTGTTTGACCTTCTTGTCTATTGTTACCACCTGAACTGACTTGGAGAGAGCAAAGCCTCTTCATCCAGAAGGCGGAGCCTATTTACAGCTGCTAAAATGTTTCCTTCAAAATGGTAAACTCATGTTTTTCAACGTCTCCCAAGTTTGGGGATTTCTGAGAAGCTATAATTATTGCTATTATCATTTGATTTTCTCCTCACAGCATTATTTCTCTAATTGTAACTCTTCTTAATTTTAGCCTTCCCCTACAACCCGTTCTGCCTTATTGGGTATCTGCTGTGCACTAAGTGAAAAATGATGGGGACTGGCACCCAGAATACCCCAAAAAGATGGTAGAGATTCTTTTCAGTCAAACATTGTAGGGTTTCCCATCACAAGTGGAAAACTTTTAATTAAAAAATAATTTAAAATATAGAAATTTCTCATAGAGAAAAAAAAATCACTTAAAGACCCCCCCCCCCCCCCCCTTAAACTTAAAGATTTCACTAAACTGTTCCATTCTTCTGGTTCTGTTTCTTGTGCCCATGAAGATGTGTTACATGATGTTTGGATCACAGGGCTTCTCTGCTGAGCTGCAGTACCACCCAGATACTGTTGTGAAAGCTCCTCGTGGGAGAAGCTGACCGTAAGTGAGGTACTTACGAACTCATTGAGTATTTTCGAAGTGAGGCGCTTGGTGCTCTTAGATAGGCCACGAGCTTGATTAAACAAGTACTCGAGCGTCAACTGGCATCGCCCATTTACCGCTTCACAGATGGGCACACACGCCGCATTCTCCCACAGAAGCATGCTCGATATGAGCGGCAGCAGGAGGGCCCCTGGCGTGAAGAAAGAAATCACTTATGTGGTCTTTTCCAAGTGAAGTTACACATGTTATGCTGTCTAGGGAAGCCTTGTCTATCACCTCTTTTGTCCAGATTAGTACATTTGAGCCGACTTGGGAGAACAAACATCATCCACTATGAAAATCATCTCAATATGTACCCTTCATAACACGATCAGACAGGTGCTAAGACCGCTACTCTGACCACGCCAACTTTTCAGACTTGTGACAATGACTTGTGCTGATTCCATCAGGCGATAGACCTGATTAGTCATTTGTTCTTTCAAGAGGAAGATCAAGTATGTACCATATGCTCCCCCCTCCCTCCCTCCCTCCCTCCCTCCCTCCCTCCCTCCCTCCCTCTCTTCTTCTCTTCCTTTCTTCTTTAAAATTTTAATTATTTTATTTTTTGAGACATGGTCCCTCTGTGTAGCCCTGGCTTCCCTGGAACTCGCTTTGTAGACCAGGCTGGCCTCAAAGTCAGAAAGATCCCCTTGTCTCTGCCTCCCAAGTGCTGGGATTAAAGGTGTGTACTTCACTGCCTGGTTAAAAAGACCTTATAAACCTTTGTGATACAACCACAGAGAATTTTCAGAAATAAAAACACGAGGACCAGTTGGGGCATAGTATTTAAAATTTCTGCCATAAGGAATGAAGATTGAAATTACAATTCTCAGAATCTAAGCAAATGCCTGGTGGATGGAGGCCCTTGGGAAGTCCAGTTTCTTAAAGGGCAGAACTAGAGGATACCATAGAAAACTAACCGTATGGGTAGGTTGTGATTACACGTGAGATGCCTCAATGAATAGGTAGATCAATTGAAGCTGATTTCTGACATAAACCTCTAGCCCCAAGGATCACGCACATGCCTGAGAATATGAATACAAACACACATAATACAAATGCATACCCGTGAAAGCAAAAATGTGCAAAAATCCTGAACAAATGAGAAAAGCCTCTCCCAAAACAAAAACCCAAAATGATGTAAAAACCCGTGTAAGAATCCAAGTTTAACAGAACCTTTGATGGAAGCAATTTGAAATGTCCAAAGTTAAAGGAGGGAATTATTAAGATTAAGGTGTGGGAAACATCTAATCTCAAATACTCCAAAGAATTTAAAAAATCAGAAAAGTAATTCTGTGTGAAAGTTCGTTAACCAACCTTTTTAAATATAAAATTAAACTCTTGTCAAAATTAACATTATCTCAATTTTCAGAAACATGTTTTCATGAGTTAATTTATACTTGATAAATTCATACAGACAGACATACATGTACACACGTACACACACATACATCTTCTATGAATATGAGGAGATATTATCAGTCTAGATATGTTACTCTTTTGTTTCAAATTTCATAAATTTCTTAATTGTTACAAATTCAGTTATTTCTATTTCTATTACTTTTTGAAGTTATAATGTATGTATATCAATTCCCCTTCATATTCCTTCCCTCAAACTTTCCCATTTACCCTTCCTTGCTCTCTCTCAAGGTCATGGTCTATTTTCTCATTCATTGTTGTTACATACATATATGTACTTGCTCAGTTTTCTTAATATAGTAAAAAAATATAAAGGCCAATACATGGCACTTTATATTTTACAAAATCATTTGTTTTGAGCCAATTTCTTAGGAGAGTATAAGACACACATCTGCTACTGTTGTCTATGTTAGGCTGAGAAGTGAAAGTGTCAACAGGTTGATTCTAGTCAGTCGGTCCAGAGCAGTGACCTGGAACCAGAAAAGGATACTGGTTTCATTCTGGAATTGTACCTCTTCATTCCTGTGTTCTCATTCCAGATAATTTCCCATATTAAGATGGACCATTCCTTGTCCAGAGGCTGTCCTGAGCATTGGAGATTGTGTTTCTACTCAAGAGATGCTAGTAATATAAATACCTTGTTCTGTTCACTCCAATCCAGACAACACAAACCATAGAAATTGCTACATTTTTCTGGAGCACAAAAGATTCTTTTCTGAACTGTTGATGAAAGAGTGTACTGTGTCTTGTGCCTTTTATAATGAAGATTATAAATTTTTCCTAAGTACTACAGGAAACCAAGAAAGCATTTCATCCATGCATAGTTTAGTGTAAAGTTATGAATTCATTCAGCTTGGATTTGCATAAGTGAAAAAATACTTACAGGAGTGGGATTGAGACAAAGACAGCCACATCTCTGAGAAACCACTGCAGTGTGGATACCAACTGAAGAGGGCCACTTCACCAGAATCCTGCCTTCAATTAACTGTCCACCACCTATATAGTCCATCAGACCACTCCCAAAGGTATGCAGAGATGGGCTGTGGAAAGAAATGATATTTGGAATCCCAGGTGAGGGTCCCATGACCCTGACTCCTCAGGAAGTGTTGACAGTCTTATCGCCATAATAAAAGCCCTAACTTCATCTATATTGTTTTCCTTATTTCTACGCTTAGTTAGCCTTCAGTTTTATCATAGTGGGATCATCACTCCCAGATGTCACTCCAGAGGAATGTAGCAATTTCCTAATACTTTGTCTTTTCCCTCAGGCTCTTACAGTCTTCTGTCAACTCTTTAGCAACATTTCCTGAAAAATGTGTGACAAACTTTATTTTATTTTCTTTATGAGCATTGGGCCACCATGCCACAGTAACGATAATATAATATCACCATTTTAATTTATATAATTTTCTCTCAGTAACTAACAATCAACCACTATAGAATTGGTCTTTGCTACAAGGTTAATAGCAAGAGTCATATGTGGTATAAATGTATTTTGAAAAGTTCATAGGCATACCACATCTACTTATCAAAATAGCAATGAAAGTCTTCCAGTTGGACAAGGCTAGACCTCCTCAGCCATAGATTTTGGCATGGCTTAGAATGCAAAACATGGGTTCCCATTTTGAACAAGTCTTAACCCAAGTCAGAATGCGGTTAGTTGGTTGCACTGTGAATGTGGTGCCACTATTGAAATAGTCATTATAATTTTTGCTTAGTTTGATTATTGTGTTACTATATAGCTTTTCAAGTCATTTATTAATACTTCACTCCAGTATTCCACCTAGTATATTTGGAATCTTCAAATCAGCAGGAACATTGGGAGTTCCTAGCTCAGCCCAGCCTTATTTATCCATACCCTGAAACAAGAGCCTATTATATCTTCATCAGCAGGTTTATCTCATTTGGTTTTGATGTACGTAACAATAGAGCATGTACCTTATGGCGGACCTTTGAGGCCTCACTGGCTAAACAATCAGGACAAAAAGCATCTCATCATATAATGCTAATTTTCAGATGGGGTTTTCATGGTCTCTGAAGATTTACTGCTACCTTCTCAACACAAGGGAAATTAATTTTGTAATTCAACTTTGGGGCTCTCCTAGAAACAACAATAAGCCTTATAAATGTGTGAAAATATCCCATTGAGTTTACAACAATTGCCTCTAAGTGTCATCAACAGGTTGTGTGTGTCGCTACTTATTAGCTCTCGAGAATACAGAATTATTCTCAAGTCATTTGGCTTCCTCATCCTTTGGCATCTCAAAGGGGCCAAGCAGCTGGCAAGACCCAGACATCCTGCTTTGGATAGGGTTAAATTAAGTAGGTAATGGTGCTTATAGCACTTGCTACATTCCCTCATTTCACTGGCTCTGGGTACCTGATCTGCTCGAGGCTGGCTCTGTAATGGCTTCATTTTGGTCATGTGCTAAGTTCAACTTACAGTTGACCCCCTGAAAGAAATTCTCCAACTTTGGTACACACCATGTGTACCAACACCTCATTCACCCAGCGAAGGTGTTTGCAGTGGAAATGTGAACACTGTATCATATAAATCATCTTATGGTCACAAGACAACCTAAATACGTTAATTGTTCTCACTCATGTTCATCTCTTACCGTCTGTTTCTTTCAGTTAATTTTGAGAATGCTATGAATTAATTTTAAATTAAGTATTCATTCAGCAGATGCACTTTTTCAAAATAGGGCACTAAGAAATCTATAATTTTATATTGCCTTTGTAGCATCTGTGTAAAATCTGTAATTTTATATTGCCTTTGTAGCATCTTACACAGATGAGAAGCATTGAATACACTGGCAATTCTGTTAGTCAACACAATGAGGTGATTCCAAACCCAGGAGAACCTTTCACAGCTGCAGGTCCAGTGCCAATCACTTGCATCTCTTCTTCCCTTCAGTAAACTGTGCCTCACAACTCACAACACATCTGAAACCCATAAACATTTCATCTGCTCCTCTGTCAGTATTTTCAGATAAACTCTCATTTGATGACATCAAAATTCTTGCAATTTTCTTCTCCTATCATAATTTCTATATTATTTTACAAACCTATTTTTTTGTCTCAATATCTGTCAATCAGAGTCACCAAAACTTCTCGTATTATGACTGTGATCCTCTATTGCTAATAAGAGTGTGAAGGTAAACTCCCAGGCCCCACAAAACCAATGCTTTCCCGTGTAGAATGTTTCTTCTCCTGTGGTACAAAATATCTCTGCCTCTAAGGCTCTAGTATCAATGTGTGCCCATTAAACACATGGAAGCAAGAATATTGTGAAACTTCTGCCACATTCAGTTGAACTATAGGGTTTTTGGAATTATTTTTAATAAGCACTAATAATTAGGTATGCTATCCTCATTAAAAATTCTGGCCCAATTCTTCAGAAAAAAAAAGAAAAAATAAACTTATGTTTTATAAGGGTACACAAAAGGCACAAGATAACCAAAACAATCTAGAATCTGAGAAGCAAAACCAACTAAAACTCTTCTGTGTCATGACTACACCTGGGGCTGCAGACCCTGATACTGCCAGTAAGAATAGTGTTGCCTACAGAGGAGCACCCAAAGTTGACCGGAGTGAGGTGTATTCTATTCTTTTCATAGTCCTAGGGATCTTCAACTAGATAACTTTTTAATGGAACATTAATTTGGAAGTTTGGTTTTCTCCTTTATAGAGTTACTTATGAGGAACTAATACTCCTACATCATATAATAGTTATAATAATTCAGAGAGCAACAGTAGATCACAAAAGAACTAGTCTCCAGAAAATTTTCATCTGAGTCACTATGATAGCTAAGACACAGTGATTCCCGTGCTAAAAACAGAAATCCCCCCAAAATTGTCTATATTCAAATTTAAGCAGCTAAGTTCCCTAACACACTGGGCTTTGCAATATTTATTCCACAGTATAAAAATTTACTACTCAACTAGCATTCAAACCTCAGACAGGAGATAAGGAACTATTTTCATAGCATCTGCTACTGCAAAATCACTCAGAAGGTATCCACATAGCTTTCACAAGCTGAACATGAAGACGAAGATGAAGCGAAAACATAAAGACAGGGGCGTCCGAACAGGACTTATACAACAACAATATGAGCATGCCCAACAGAATCTAAGTCTTGGTGTAACAACCAGATAGTCATTCAGAAAACACATTAAATGAGCCTCTAAAATGGCAGACATCTCTACGAATCTTTTTTTCAAAATTGGAACCAAGTGCACAAAGCAAACCATGTTCTAAACGGCAAGAGCTCTCTAGGAACTCTCTAAATCCTAAACCTGAATGACTACAGTATTGTTATAACCCCCAAATTCATTTCCTTTCCCAGCTCACACATGTGCTTCTATGGACAGCATCATTCGTCAAGGTCGCTTCATCGGTAAAGAACACCTGCACTGCTATTCCAGCGTGAGGAAACTACAGCTAGGGCTTTCCTCATAGCTGACTTCACTTCAAACTGCTCCTGGACAAATAGATCTGTGAGTCTACTTCCTTGATTCCTTGTTTTAAGACAAATTTACTAATATAAATTAGTAAAGGAAAATTTATTTAGTTTGAAATTTGGTTAATCATAGAGAGGAGAAATTAAGCATTGTGATTTTTCTCTCCCACAGGTCTCACATTTTGTAGCATAGGCTAGAACATGTGTCAGTGTGGCTGTGAGAGATTCTTTGCTTGTTTCTGGGAATTGGGGGCTATGAATTCTAATAGCTGTCCATTTTCAACTAGGGACAGAGTTATTGTGCAATGTATAATTTTCATGTATTTTGAAACCCGGTTAGGTTTTTTTGTTGAAAGGTCCATTCCTTTGTTTGGTATAGAATAGAAATGTTTTATGTCTGTTTTGGGATTACCTTAAATTCTCATACCTTGCTTGCCTGTTGAGCAAAGGAGCTGGGCAAGGGAGTAGAGATTAGAGTGTGACACCAAGGATGGGGTGCAGGTGTTAGTTTTTTTCCTGTCTTCTCCAGATGGGACATTGACGTCGGATCTTAGGTACACAAGTGGTTTTAGTAGGGTTGTGTTATTGAGACCTTCATGTAACTTGAGTTTGTAAAGTTCTAAGGCAGTCAAGTTGGAATGAGAGAAGCAAAATTATGACAAAGGGGGTCACTCACTGACAAATGAGACAAGTTATGCATTGAGATCAGGCCAGAGTTTCTACATAACAGCAGGGGAGAACCAGATCCTATGGCATTGAGTTTCCAGAGCAGTGATTCTGAACCTCACCAATACTGTGACCCTTGAATACATTTCTCTTGTTGTGGTAACCCCAATCACAAAATTATTTTCAATGCTACTTTGTAACCAATTTTACTACTGTTATGAATCATAAATATTTTTGGAGGTATGGAGCTTACAAGGGGGTCATGACCCAAAGGTTGAAAACAATTGTTCTAGAAAATCTTCCACTCAGAAAAACAGTTGATAAGAGGGATCAAAAAGGAAGTAATATTTATCACTACCCTCAATACTGTAGATGAAAAACTTGTTGAGTGGGAACCATCCCAGAAAGTTCCATATCAAGTTGACCCACGTAGAAGAAGGTCCTTTATAGGGTACCCAGGTACCCAATTTTCAAGTACAGATTTGGTGGGTCCCTAGATTTGTGTGAAATACTTGAGCCTTGTTGAATGATGACACCTAATATACTCTATTTTATGGTTACCCGAAAAATCATTGGAAGCAATGAGCATCAATGACTAAAAATGGGGAAAAAGTTGTAAAGCTGAAAAAGTCTGATCTTGTCCTGGATGTTGTCAGCTACCGACCAACCTTACAGAAGGTAGATTGGCATTGCTTAATAGATGAGGGAAAGGAGCAGAGCAGCTGAAAGAATTTACTTTGTTATAGGGTTAAGGAGTTCATCACAGCTCTTCAGAGAGTACACTG